TTGTTTTTTTTCCCCACTGAGTAGTACTCCATTGTGTAAATGTACCACATTTACTTTATCCATTCTCCAGTTGAGGGCATCTAGGTCACTTCCAGGTTCTGCCTATTACTAGTAATGCTGCTATGAACATAGTTGAACAGATGTCCTTGTTGTAAGAATGTACATCCTTTGTGTATATGCCTAAGAGTGGAAAAGCTGGATCTTGTGGCAGACTGATTCCCATTTCCCTGAGGAACCACCATACTGATTTCCAAAGTGGCTGTACTGACTTTGCACTCCCACAAGCAGTGGAGGAGTGTTCCCCTTTCTCCACATCCTCTCCAGCATAGACTGTCATTGGTGCTTTTGATTTTAGTCATTCTTACATGAGCAAGATGGTATCTCAACGTTTTTTACTTTATTTTATTTATCTATTAAGTTGTTTGTATGCTTGTTTGGTTTGTTTTATTTTTGTGTTTTTTTTGAGCTGGGGTCTTCCTTGCTGTACAGTACAGTAGAAGGTTGCTGGAATGTCCTATCCTCCTGAGTGCTGGGATTACAGTCATTTATGTAACTCACGACAGATTGCATAACTATGGTAGTGCAGAGTGGAGGCTAATTGATACAAAAACAAAGATATCTCTTGAGGGCGAGGTATGCAGCTCAGTTGACAGAGTAGCGACTGCATGAAGCCCTGGCTTTGGTCCCCAGCCCTGTGTTAATCAGGCATGCTGGTACATACTTGTAATCCTAACATTTGGGATCTGGAAGTGGGAGGGTCAGAAGTTCAAAGTCATCCCAAGCTACTGAGGTTTTGGTTGTGAGGCTTTGGCGGCACAAGTGTGGTCATTTGATGTTTATACATCTAGTACAGACCCTCTGGGTTAAAAGCAGGACACTCTGGTATGGCTGGAAAGGGGGACATAGACACAAACAAACCAGTCAGTTAATCACGCGGTGTGTGGCTATCTCTCAGCATCCTATCGAGCAGAGGGCCTGGACCGGCCCAGCAAGAACATGGCCCAGAACAGTGAGCTTAGATAAACTTGGAGATGTGGGTTGGAGCTGGGCTGGGGTGGGGTCTTTCTCCTTGTTTCCCATCTTTGGAAGCAGTGTGTCCTTATTCACTGTCACTCCAGAGGGGGTGTTCACAAGGCAGGTGAGGATGGACTTCTGGGTCAGCACACGTGTGTTTAACGTGAAGAAGTGTGTGGTGGAGGTCTGACTTGATGGTGAGGCAGGAAGTGTTCCAAAGCAAAGAATTAAGTACCTGTTGAAATTAAACAAACAAACAAACAAACCAAACCACACACTGCGTACCCTTGAGTGGAACAAAGCTGTTTATATGGTAAAGTGAAGGGCAGCTTTGAAGAGGTCTGAGAGGACCTGAGTTCAAATCCCTGGCACCCACATAAAATCTGAGCATGACTGCGCACCTATAATTGCTGTGTTGGAGAATGAAGGCAGGTGGGTACCAGCTAGCCAACCCCTGGCTGAAACTTCAGGTTCAGTGAGAGATCCTGCTTCATTAAGTAAGGTGGAGGGGGAGAGGGAGGGAGGGAGGGGAATGAATCAGTGTCCTCATGTGTGCATGGGTATCACACACATATGTACCTGTGTACCACTTCTCACAAAATAGATAGATAGATAGATAGATAGATAGATAATAAAATGATTACTAAGGAAACCCTGAGTGTAGAAGCTGGAATCTTCAACACACTGGTCCTTCTCAGCAACGGTTGGAGTTGCAGGTGGGAAAAGCTGAGCTATGAAGAGAAAAGAGCAGCATATTATGTTTTAGACTGGCCCATGCAACCATTTAAAAATGATGTGATGTTCTGAGAACATATCCAGGACATCAAACATAATACAATATCAAATAAAAGTCTGAGTGTCCCGAACACTTAATCTGGTCTCTACTGGCCCAGTGGGGCTACACTTTGGAATTGGAAGTTCACATCTAATTTTTGACAGGAATATCAATTTTATTTTGATGTATTTAATTGGCCAGATATTTTTAATGCCAATCATTTGTCAGGAAATATTTGCAAATATTTTTGAAGGGAACATTTTTTTCTCAACAATTACCTAGTAAATATGATGACTGTAGATACTCCATCTGGCGATTCCAAGCTCTGACAATATTTTGTTTTCCTTTCCTTCCCAACTAGAATTTGTAGCCTAAATTATTCTGTTGTTTCTTTCAGGCTGCATCTGTCTCTTGTGTGTAGGGTGGGCAGAGCTGCGTTGGGGGTCTGAAACCGTGGTTTCTTCCTGGCCAGGTTAGTTTAGGAGACCATGATTTTTAGCATCTAGGATGGGGGCCTGCAGGACACCCACTGGGATTTACAGGACCTCAGGACAAGAAACTGGGCCCGGAACACATGGTAGTGACAGAAACAGAATTTATACTAAGGGAAAAAAGCACGTTAGAGGATGGAAATGCCCACATTGGGTAAGGGTCACAAGGTCCCTGGCTCCCGTGACAGGCAGTTAGGGACCTTCTGGTTGGTGCTCTTCCCCAGATGGTAGGCGCGTTGTGGGGGGGGATTCCCAGGCTTTCCATCCCTCATTGTTTCCATTCTTATGTCAGTCTTGACCCAGACTCAGCAACTAAGACACTTGCAAGTTGTAGAGATGTCAGTTCACTGGTGGAACCACACGTGTGAAAACATGACATCACCAGGATCTCCCTCTACCGTCTCCTTTGGAGCCTCCAATGAAAGAATTTTGAGGCTGTGCTGTGGTGATATATTATTTATGACTTACTAAAGCTTGCCTGAAGGATCACAATGCAAAGCCAGCCACAGCCATGGAAGCTAGCCAGTGGTGGCACACAGCTTTAATCCCAGGACTCAGGAGACAGAGGCAGATGGATCTCAATGAGTTCAAGGCCACCCAGGGCTACACAAGAGTGAATCAGTCTGAAAGATTAACAGAGCTCACGGCTTTAATCCCAGCACTAGAGAGTATATAAGGAGCTGGGTGCAGTCTCAGAGGGCAGTCTAGGATTCTGAGACTGGTGGAGAGCAGTGCAGCCTGGAGACACAATCTGAGGTTCAGTGAATCGCCCCTTTGGTCTGAACATCGGTAGAGGTGAGAACTCTCTAGTGGCTGGCTGCTTTGCTTCTCTGATCTTCAGCTTGAACCCCGATGTTTGTCTCTGGGCTTTTATTGTTCTGTTACACTATTCAGAGTACAGTGTGGAGATGGTAGTGTGTATTACAGTGAGGGTGGAACACTTTCAGGGGACAGTGCACAAAGGGAGCGCTCTGTGTTAGACACTTCCAAGTGAGCAGAGTAGACAGACAATGGCCAAACAGACTACTGTGAGGACCTGTGTTACCTACATCTTAGGCAGGCTTTATCCTGTTTCTAAATTCTCTAGAGTAGGCAGCTTTCCATGGAGGGTTTTCCTGTCCAGGTGATTGACAGGCCCATGGATGAATTCTGGGAGGTCATAATAGTATTTTCTTATCCTTTATCAGGAAGCTTGCATCTAGACAGTGATTTTACAATCTTCTGGGTAGTCCAGAAAGTCATGCCTCTACCTGAGGCTAGAGAGTGCACTCAGAGTCCATTCTTTCCATCTGTAGTCACAATTCTGCTATTTTAGTTTCACGTCTAACGGGAGTTTCTACAAGGGAGGGGTGAGTGTGAGCTGCAGATAAACTGGGCGTTCTTGTGGATGTGGTAGCAACAGTGAGTTTCTTGGATAAAACTACCGTGTTTTACCCAGTAAGATTTTTATCCATGGCTTGAATAACAGTTATGCTTGTCATCTGACCTTGTCCACTGGCTTCTGTGGTGTGCTATGGGCAGTTGATTGTGCCAGACTTTTCCTTTTGGGCCACCAACCAGCTCTCAAATCATGGCACAGAGACTTACTAGTTTTGAATGCTCAGCCTTAGCTCTTTTCTTGCTAGCTCTTATAAACTTAACCTGTTTCTCTTTATCTACCTTTGCCTCAGGGCTTATTACCTTTTTTCTGTGTGTCTTTCACTGCTTCTCTGTGTCTGTCTGGTTGGTGCATGCCTGGCTTCTTGTCCTAGATGTGGCCCTCCTGCTCTCCTCCTTACCTCATTCTTCTTGTTCTTCTCTTGGGCCTAGATTTCTCCTCCTGTTTATTCTTTCTGCTTGGCAGTCACGCCTAATCATCTCTCTGCCCAGCGATTGGCTGTTCAGCTCTTTATTAGACCAATCAGGTGCCTTAGGCAGTCAAGGTGAAATGAATGCAACAGGCTTTACATAGTTAAACAAATGCATCATAAACAAAAAAGCTACACACCTTTACACAGTTAAAGTAATATTCTGCAGCATAAGCAAATGTAACACACCTTTGCCTAGTTAAAATAATATTCTACAACAGTTGACCTTTGGTTTTACATAGGTGTATGCTTACTAATATTGAAGGAGGCCAGAGTTTGATTTTGTGTCTGGTTACCTTAAATTTCCCCCAAACGGAATCAGCTTCTATTGTATGGGAGTACCATGCATCTTAAACTTGTAGGAAGATAGTACTGGGTTTGAACACTCATCATTTGTGCCATGTAGCACAGATGTGTCCAGTAGGCCCCTGTGAGTTGGGCACCATGCTGGACAGTACAGATGGAAACTATTTCTATTGGGCACCTCTGCATTATAACAAGGATCAGTGGTGCTTTGAGCATAAACTAACATATAAGAACAAGAAAATGTCTTGAGGGATAATGAGATGGCTCAGTGGGTAAAGGTGCTTGCCATGCAAACCAATAACCTGAGTTCAATTCCCAGGACACACATGGAGAGTGCTGGACTCCAGCCTACACATATGATGTGGCACACACTCCGCCCCACTTTAAATAAACAAATGGTTGTGAGCGGTTGCACTGAGGTTCGCCTGGGTGTGGCTGTACCGGGATACCCTGGAAGTTTCTTTGGGTTGTGGCTGCTTTGACCTGGCTGCACATACACACAGTCTCAATATCCCTTCTTTGTTTCTATCATAGTTTTGATGGTTTGGATGTTTTGATTCCTTCTAGGTTCAGCGAAATGAAGACAAGTCTACCACCTTGAAGCTGGCTGATTTTGGCCTGGCCAAACATGTGGTGAGGCCTATATTTACTGTGTGTGGGACGCCCACATATGTAGCTCCTGAAATTCTTTCTGAGAAAGGTAAATGTTTCCCTTTGCTCTTTGGTACTCAAGCTCAGCAACCAACAAATGCCTTGCTTAAAAAAAATCTCAGGAAGTTGACTGGAACTCATCCTTGCTAAAAAAACTGTGTGTGTGTGTGTGTGTGTGTGTGTGCATGTGCGTGTGTGTGTGTGTGTGGTGTGTGTGTGCATGTGTGTGTGCATGTGTGTGTGTGTGTGGTGTGTGTGTGCATGTGCGTGTGTGTGTGTGTGTGTGTGTGGTATGTGTGTGGTGTGTGTGTGTATGTGTGTGTGTGTGCGTGTGTGGTGTGTGTGCGTGTGCGTGTGTGTGTGCGTGTGTGGTGTGTGTGTGCATGTGCGTGTGTGTGTGCGTGCGTGCGTGCGTGTGTGTGTGTGTGTGTGTAGGCAGGACATTGAGATAAAAGACAGAGAACTGGGAGAGGAAAGGAAATCTGCCCAGAGAAGGCCATTTATACCCAGGTCTACCGCTAGGGGAGAAAATGGAAACATTTCTTGTGCTGAAAGTTTAAAAATTTCTTGGCTAGCTTCCATGTAAAGGCGAAAGAGATCTCATTTCAAACTTCATGAATATTTATTCCTCATTTGTGAGGATCAGAGGAACTACTTTGGCAACGTGCTTTATAAAGCATATAAACAGAAAATATATGGAAGATAGCTCAGCAGTTGCTGCACTGTGGTGAATGTACCTGCTGCCTGAGAGAGGCTCTGGGAGGGCTGACAGCTTGGCCATAGGTGGAAGGCATGGGTAGTTCCTCATCAACACAGGCACCGGAAGCTGTGATGAGGAGACAGAGTGGAAGGCATGGGTAGTTCCTCATCAACACAGGCACCTGGAAGCTGTGATGAGGAGACAGAGCATGTGTGAGGCTAGTGGGTGGATACTTGAGAAGACTAGTCTTATGGAATACAGAGAGTTAAATGACAGGTGTCATGGCCACTGTACTGTGATTACAGTGGTACAAGAGAGCACCAAAAGACACAGGACATTTTAATGGAGGAAAAGACGAATCAGATGGGAGACAAAGCAAATTATCATAAGCTTATGGGGAAAGCATACCAACATAGATCCACATCAGTGTAGACACATCAGTGTAGATACATCAGTATAGAGACATCAGTGTAGAGACATCAGTATAGACTACATCAGTATAGAGACATCAGTGTAGATACATCAGTATAGACTACTTCAGTATAGAGACATCAGTGTAGAGACATCAGTATAGACTACTTCAGTATAGAGATACCATAATAGAGACATCAGTGTAGAGACATCAGAATAGAGCTATCAGTATAGAGACATCAAAATAGAGACATTAGTGTAGAGACATCAGAATGAGACATTAGTATAGAGATGTCAGAATGGAGACATCAACGTAGACACATTAGTATAGAGATATCAGCATAGAGACATCGGTGTAGAGACATTAGTATATATAGAGATATCAGTATAGACCCATACTGTTGTCCCATTGGCAAGGATGGGAAGTCCTAGATAAATGTGTCACGTTGGGACTCTTTAATCTGATGGCTGAACTGGTGATCTGGTGGCTCTGCAGCAATGCCCAGGACAAGGACAGGTAATCTCAGACAAGCTGTGGGTCCTGCTTGCAGGAGGGAACACAGTCAGTAGAAGGCCGGGATACATGAAAGATGGAACCGGATTACGATAAAACAAGTTTGAGAGGCAAGGGGAAGTTTGAAGAGAGCGTGGGGTAGAAGAATCCGTTCTGGATCATTAATAGTGCTTGAGAACTGAACATCGTTGAGCTCGCCCCAAAGGGGCATCAGGGACTTTTTATTCACTTTAGTTCCTTATTGATTTGTGTCTTGTTAAGCCTACTCTGAGGCCTAGTAATGAACTTCTAATGTCCATTTAAAGCTACCAGTTGTGTTCATTTCCTAAAGGTGAGAAGTCAGAAAGTGCTTGAAAAATATGTACACGCCCATTTGTGGGAGGATGCTAGGTGAGGGGCATAAAAGCCTCAGCTGTTCTAGTTCCATTCTGTTCCTGTGACAAACACCATGACCAAAGAAGCCACTTAGGCAAGGAGCAGGCTTATTTCATCTTGCACTTCCAGGTCACAGTCAGTCACTTAGGGAAGTCGGGGTGGGCCCACATGGCAGGAACCTGAAGGCAGGCTTCTTGCTATTCCAACCAGGGATCATATTCCAATCAGGGAATACAGTAGAAACAAAGGAAGAATGACGCTTGATGGCTTGTTCACAGGCTCACGTTTAACTAGCTTTCTTATTCAGCTCAAGCATAGGGATGGTGCTGCCCATAGCGGCCCTTTTACCTACATCAACTAATAAACAAGACCATTCTCTATTACTCACAGGCTCCCATTCAGCCGGGACTCCCTTCCCAGGGGATTCAAGGCTATGTAAAAGTTGACAGTTAGTGCTAACTAGGACAATTACTTTGTATATCTTGTTTCCAGTAAGTTACCTTACATTATAATCTGTTGGGGAAATCCTGTTATTTGCCTGTGCATTTGTCAATAAAGTACTGTCTGGCCAATAGAAAACCTAGATAGGAGGGACTAGGAGTCGAGGAGGATTCTGGGAAGGGGAAACACAAGAGAGTCAACATGTGACGCCATGGGGGTAGGACGCCGGGAACTATTCTCCGGTAAGAAACATTAGATTAACAATTATGGGGTAATTACTTAAGGCAGAGCTAGCCAGTAAGGGACAAGCAAGGCCAACAGCTTCATAATTAATATAGCCTCCTGTGTGCTTATTTGGGACTCATGTGGATCTAGAACCAGGCTGGCGCTGCAGAGCCCAGGCGACTGGCGGGGGATAAACCAAAGCGGCTAGCAAAAGAAAAAGCTTCTCTTAACAATAATCAACTACCATATTTGTTATTTTTCTTTTTGCTATGACAAAATATACGACAAAGGCCACTTAAGGGCAGCAGGGTTTGTTGTTGTTGTGGTTGCACAGCTCAAGAGAGAGAGTTTATCACGTTTGACCTGCCTGACTGGGTTTCCTGTCTGTGTGTTCTGGCAGGTTACGGCCTGGAGGTGGACATGTGGGCTGCAGGCGTGATTCTCTACATCCTCCTGTGTGGCTTCCCCCCTTTCAGAAGCCCCGAGAGGGACCAGGATGAGCTCTTCAACATCATCCAACTGGGCCAGTTCGAGTTCCTTGCCCCTTACTGGGACAACATCTCTGATGGTGAGATTTGGGGTTCCCTGTGATGGGAAGGATGGTTGTGGGCCTCTTCCTGCTCTTTCAGAGAGTGGCCTGGAGTGGTGCTCAGAGGTGTTGGTGAAACATGGAGTGGTGTGTTAACTGTCTGCATACACAGATGAGACTCAGAGGATTCTCAGTTTAGATGTGACCTTCCAGTGTGTGGATCCTCCTGGGATCTGGAAGGGGTGTGTTATGTTAACTTTTCCTGGGAAAGATGTTGTCCTGAGCATGCTGTCTCCTTCCACAAAGGCAGAATTTACTGAGTAACAAGAAACTCACAAAACAATTTTAATGGTAGCAATTTGCCAGATTGGTATTTGGGCCAAGGTTAACACAGGTTCTTTTATTCCAGTTTTGATTACTAATATTAACTCTCATATCATATATTACAGGATAAACATACATACACACATGTACACACACATGTACACACACACACACACACATGCATGCATACACACATTCTACCGAATACATACAAAAGGTTAAAAAGGGTTGCAGCAGAATTTCAAGAGGTTCCAGAAGCGGCAGATAGAAATGTAAGTAGACTGTGTATTGATAAGATAAGGAGCCCAAACTGGACACAGTCACAAGGCTGCCATTGTCAGGCTGTGTCACTCACTGCCATTGTCACTCACCGGGTTTGAAAATGAAGTGGCAGCATTGAGTCTGGCTAAGAGGTTAAAATAACCCTCCTGCTTTAGCTTAACCTGGTCTCTAATGCTCGAGGTTATGTGTGGTTGGAACAGGTCTGGGATGTTTCCATCTCCTGTCTTTCTGTTCTGAACAAGGAAAGCTTGTTAGCATTCCCACACACTGATGTGGATTGCGGGCTGCCACTTCATGGCTCAGAAGGAAAGAACACTGTAAAGCCACCTGGATTCACCACTCTCTCCCCAATTTCTCCCCTCCCACAGCTGCCAAAGATCTGGTGAGACATTTGCTGGTGGTGGACCCCAAGAAACGGTACACAGCCCACCAGGTCCTTCAGCATCCCTGGATTGAGATGGCTGGGCATCCCAGCACGGTGAACTCACAGAAGGATGGATCCTCCAGCAGCGACAGTCGATCCCAGAGCCAGCACAAGAAGGTTGCAGAGCAGGTGTCATAATCTCTCTGGGTGATCTAGCCAGCCTGCTTTCCCCGAGGACACAGAAAAGGTGGGAGTCTGCAGGAAGACCATGCAAGGCGCTTCTCCATGACCAGAGGAAGAGAAGAGACACCTGGAACATTTTAAAGAGTGTTTGAAAAACAAGCACTAATGCTAAATGCTCTATGATATTTTTTAGATTTGTATATTTAAAGTCTTTAATACTTTTTGGGTAAGAATTTCCATGAATGAGGAATTTTGATAATAACAAGGAATTCCGTTTCCTCCTGGTAGTCAAGTTCACAGTGGGCTGCACGCATATATGCTCTCCCTTGCTTGAGCTTCCCGTACAATGAATGGGGTGAATCCTGGCTTTTCTTGCTCACCAAACATACTGTGAGCAACAGAGGAAGAGTTGCCCTGTTCAGGGGTGGGGAGAGATGGTGAGCACAGTTCAACACAGCTGTGTTTTAACCTTTGACAGTTGTGGTAAAATCTTGTTTCATCTCAGAACAGCAAAGAGACCAATAAGTATGCTTCTATGAGCTGAAATTCCATGAAAAAAACCACTTTTTTGGGGGGAAGTGTCTGCAGCTGACTGGTTAGAACTTCATGATTATGGAGAATTGGAATGTATAGATTGAAAGCCAAAAAATTATCTTGGGTTATCTTTAGTCCTCTTAATAGTCATGTATCACCAAATTGTGTATCCAACCTAACAGATACAGCTGTTAGAATGCATTAACTCAGCCAGCTGCTAGCTTCTACTAACCCTAAAGCTAAGCATTCAGAGCCTACAGAAAGATGTCCCTGCTTTGCCATAAGCCACCTACCTAATTCCATCGCCAGGATAGTTGGTAAATTCATTGATTTGTGACTTGTTTTATTTGGTGATAATAATAAAAAATCATGTAACCATTTCCAGGATGGGATGTGTCATTTAGGACAACATGAATGCATGTTGCCAGGCCATGATCACTCACACTGGCTTAGAATAAATAATTTATTATTCTTTTTGGAGCAAGAGCTGTGTGTTTTGTTTGTCAATTCTCATCCCACTTGACAGATGAAAAAATTTAGGAGGGGCCTGATTTGTTCAACATTATTTCGTTCACAAAAAATCTGAGCTGTTCTTGTTCCTAGCTTCTGTTCTTGTTGCAATACTTTCACTGTGGAGTTGAAGCATTGATTCCCGCTAGGTAGAGAAGCGAGAAATTGAGAGAGGTACTGTCCCATTACCAAGAGGTGCGGGCTCCCACTGAAGGGCTTTTGATAGTTCTAGTACCCATGCTTCTTATGTCATGGAGATGGCTGGGCTGTGGTCTGTGACATGGGCAGATGCATGTAGAGGAAGATAATTGTTCTCTTGCTCACCACAGTCAAATGTAGCAGGTGGTATGTATTCCTGTGTACGCACAGGTGCACAGGTATGTGGGGGCCTGAGGACACCCTTGGGTGCTGTCCCTTAGGCACCATCCATCCCGTGTTTTGAGCCACTGATGTGGATGTCACCAAATAGCCTAGGCTGGCTAGTTAGTGAGCCCCAGATATCCACCTGTCACTGCCTCCCTAGCACGGGGATTACAACACTCCATCATGCCCAGCTTCTGCATGGGCTCTGGGCTTTGTATTTAGGATCTCATGCTTGTAAGGTAAGAGCTTTACAGACCAAATCATCTTAGGCCCTCCGTAGGAAATACATTGAACTCTGTGGTGAAGGAGGCATGGTCAAAAGACTTGAAAAACCACAACAGAATTACCACTGGCATACAGCACAGATATCTTGCACTATTGTTTCTGTAGCTCTGTGGGGCTCCGTTCTTCACTTTCCAGCTGTGGCCCCTGGCTGGTCCCCACTCTTGTACTCATGAAGACGAGAAGCAAAAAAATTTTTTTAAAAACAATACAAAACTAGAGGAGCATCCTTCCCTCGAATTGATCAGTGAGCCTGGTTCTATTAGCAGACACCAAAGCCAAACCTCGGCCTCAAGAGGGGGATTCTTGTTGCTGTGTCCCTGGCTTCAGGCCTTCCCTCCTTTCCCCTCCCCCTCTCCTCCCCTTCTCTCCTCTGCTCTCCTCTCCCTTCCCCTCCTCTCCCCTCCCCTCTCCTTGTCTCCTCTCCCCTCCTCACCTCTCCCCTCCTTCTCTTCTCTTTCTTCCCCTCCTCTCCCCTCCTTTCCTCTCCTCTTCCTCTACCTCCTCCTCTTCCTTCTCCCCTCTTTTCTTTCTCTCCTGCCGCCTTTCTCTTCATATCTCCTCCTCTTCCTCCCCTTTTCTTGTCACCTTTCTTCCTTCAGTGTCTCTGTCTTTCTTCCTGTCCTTTAGAGACAAGGTCCCTACTCTGTATCCCATGCTGGCTTGGAACTTACTATATAGCCCAGGCTGGCCTACCACACACGATGACCCTAGTGTCTCAGTTTCTCCATGCTGGGATTACAGGCACCGGGTCCTCTCCTCGCAAAAGCAGGACCTGCAGGTATCCTCTTGGACACGCATCCCCCCATACTTGCTTTTCAAGGTGCTTGTCTGACCATGTGTCCAGGTATGCTGCTTCTCTCTGGGAATAGCAGCTTTCTGAGCCTAGTGGCCAACTGCTTTGGGTGGGCACCCATAACCCTCCCTCCCCTTACACCGCAGGACAGACTTCATCCAGGACATCCTCACTTGAGTGTCACCTTGAAATGGCAGTTTGTAGGGTGTGACCCAGAATGAGTAACAGAAACCAGGGTAAAATTTGGGGTGTGGAAGTAGGAATACCAGTCATTTCCTTCCCACCGCATCCCCCCATCTCCCTCCCCTGATGGAGAGTGTCCATGCCTTGTGAACTGCTGTTCGCACCAGACCCGGCTAGCTGCACTGAAGGTGGGCATTTGACATATCCAGCTAGGTGAAGGTTCTTTCCCAGAATTTATCAGCAGAGGTCCTAGCCTCTATCTCTGTGGAAACCACGTAAACATTGGGGAACCTGGAACTGGTGGCTCAAGGACATCCATATGACTCAGTCTCAACCAACCCACCCACCTGTAGAGAGAAGACTTCTCCTTGCCAGCCACTTTGGTTTTTAACCTCGCCAGTCACCTGGGCTTTGCTGTGTTGTAGTCCCCAAATAACACACAAGACGCTGTATTAATTATGAAGCTGTTGGCCTTGCTTGTTTCTTACTGGCTATCTCTGACTTAAGTATTTACCCCATAACTGCCAATCTAAGTATTTCTCTTACCGGAGAAAAGGGTCTGGGCTTCTTACCCCTATGGCGGTTACATCTTGACTCCCTGTGTTTCTCCTACCCAGAGTCCTCCTGGACTCCTAGTCCCACCTATCTTGCTTCCCTATTGGTCAACAGTGCTTTATTGACATGTACACAGAACTTCTCCATCATCTCTTTTCTGTCTAAACAAAGAGAAAGGTCTTAACTTTAACATAGTCAAATTATATATAACAGAACAGTTATCAAGTAAGAACACAGTTACAATAACTTGTCTATCAAAATTTAGCAAGATTTAAAGAAACTATCATCCATTCCATCCTTGTGAGTTCAAAGTTCTATATGCAGCTTATCTTTTATCATAACTAAGGAAAACTATGATGATAACTATCTGTCTTCAACTCCATCAAAGACCACAGATGGATAATACAAAAACACTAGGATTGACAGAGACATCTTGCTGCCTGGACAGTCACCCAAAGTTTCTCTGTAATGTTGGGGCATCCATCTTCAGCCCATAGGCCACAGTGTGTCTGGAAGACTTCTCAGCAAAGCAGGAAGTCTCAAACTGTCCATTTGCATTGGCAGTCTGTCAGTCATTTTTCTGTGTCCTGCAGAAAGTCTCGTAGACTCTTCCATGAAGCAGGAACCCTGAAGAACTATTTGAGTTCAGCAGTCACTTTCCTGTGGGTCCTGTATATCCAGTTTATACAGCAACAGTCCAGCAGTCTAGGCGAGAACAGTTTCTTGCCCAAATGGCTAATCTTGCCATGTTGAAAGCAAACTCCATAATGAGTTTCTTCGATGCCCATCTTTCTCTCAGATGTAATTGATGATGCCAGGAGCAGACATATCTCATTGTCAAGAAAAACCCTGAAATTTTTAAATGCCATTTTCTGAAGGTCTTTGAAAGGTTTGAAGACTATCTATCTCAAATATATCTTTGTATATCTAGAAAACCTAACTTACCTAACTATAAGATCTGATTATTATAAGTAACTATCTATAGTCTGTATTTAATTATGTATTATTTTTTAAAAGATCAGTGTAAGCACAATACTTAATCAAGAGGAGAAATATACATATCACAAAATTGACCTTGAATTTGTATCAATAAATGAAAAACCGTACCAATACAAAGTACTCATTTCCATACCATAATCCCATTTTTCCTTTAAAAGGAGATTGGTTGTAATCATTAACCAATTATAAGCAACCCCATTCAAACGAAAACAAAGATTTATAAACAATATGGGGATTTGGACATCTGTCGCTCATTCCAAACTGCTTTGTGCTGGAAGGGGGCACTGTTCATACTATGGGGATCATGACTCAGAAACTACTATAAGTCCTTATTTTCGGGGTCTGTAAGGGTGTATCATCTTAGCTGTCTCAATTGTGGGAACACCTGGCCCACTGCTTCTGGGGGTCTTGGTTCATCAAACCACAGAAGCCTGGAAGGAATCCTCAGCTTTTCATTTTCTGTGGAAACATAAACAAAAACTCTTTTCCCAAGTAACATATCCTTATACTTAAATTTTGAAGTCAAGGCATTTTCAAAAGATATAAGTTGAATTAATTCAGTGGCATTTATAATCAAGTGTACTTTAGTAGTTGTTTCTTCCTTAGCAATCAAAAAACTGAAAAACACAATAGCATACAGTATCCAGACTTTCTGTATATTTTCCATCTTTATGTGCCTTATTTATATATTATTATTACTTTATTTCTTTTACATTTATTTCTTTATTTATTTTTCTGAGACAGGGTTTCTCTGGAAATCTGCCTGCCTCGGCCTCTGCTGTGAATACTACCAGCTTGTGCCACCACAGCTGGCTTCTCTATTTATTTACCACTATGCCGTTTCTTTTTCTCTCTCAATCTTGCGTATATTTTTAAACACACTGTAAACCTTTAGAGGCTTTTCTTCATCCAAGTCTGACTTTACTGTAAATCTTTATGTTTTTCTGGCCATGTGTGTGTCTTATCTGATAAAACCGTGGCTGTTTAAACTGCAGTTTTTCCAAGATGGCGGGCGTAAGCGTGATTCCAGCTCACTGTCTCAGTCTATGGTGACATCCAGCAAAGGCTGCCAGCTTAGAGATGTAGTCTCTACCATTTCCAGCTGTACTTACACACCTTTTAATTGTTAGCAGAGCCTCTTAAAAGAACATTGCTTTTTTTTTTTTTTTTGCTTATGCTGAGTCAGGAAGACTCCCTTAAGCAAAACCACGTGAGTCTCTGCTTGTTGCTAGCAAAACAGAGCCCACCTGAGATAATGCTGCCACCAAGTACCCATGCTTTTCTCCGTTCTTTTGTTTCTAAAACTCCTTTAAAGCTTTTGTCGTTCTACGTGGAAATTCAATGATCTCACTCCTGATCACCATTTGTAGAGAGAAGCCTTTTCCTTGCCAGCCACTTTGGTTTTTTCCCCCCTGCCAGTCACCTGGGCTCTGCTGTGTTGTAGTACCCAAATAGCACACAAGACACTGTATTAATTATGAAGCTGTTGGCCTTGCTTGTTTCTTACTGTCTATCTCTGATTTAAGTATTTATCCCATAATTGTTAATCTAAGTATTTCTCTTACCGGAGAAAAGGGTCTGGGCTCCTTACCCCTATGGCGGTTACATCTTGACTCCCTGTGTTTCTCCTACCCAGAGTCCTCCTGGACTCCTAGTCCCACCTATCTTGCTTCCCTATTGGTCAACAGTGCTTTATTGACATATACACAGAACTTCTCCCTTACCACCCACCTACCAACCAACCAATTTGAGTCTGTAGAAGAGTGTATGGTTTATCTGCATCTCTGCCCACCTTC